AGTTATAAAATAGTTATATATAAAATATATAAAATATATAAAATTATATATAATCATATATAATTATTATATAACTATTTTATATAAATTATATATAATTATTATTATTATATATAATTAAATATAATTATTATTATTATATATTATATATATATAATTATTATTATTATATAATTCTATATAATTTATATAAAATATTTATATAAAATTATAACTTATATAAAATAGTTATATATAACATTATATATAACTTCATTCAAATTCGGTGGACCTTTACATTGAGATAAGATATTCCGGCATATTAGGCTAATAATTCCTACTAACCTTTAGCAAACTACACGATTACTTCTATTACGTGCAGCCCGTACTCGAGCATTCTAGGACATTTCGCGTATCTTCTCGTCTATTTTGCATATTACGTATCTACACAGCTACGTGACATGACTTTGTTAACAAACAACGGAACACGAAAAAAGTGAAAACACAAAACTTCCAATACGTCCGTCACCTTCGTGTTCTTTTTCATCTTTACTAAAATTTAGATTATACAAACATACACGCGCGTATCATGGAAACCCCGCTGATTTATTCAGTAAACTGTCGGGAATATTCCAGGAACTCATTAACGTGCTCAATTCGGAGAATTCGTTTAGAAAGTCAGAAATTTCAGCCGGAGTTCGGTATAATCGCTCGTGGCATTCAGTTAACAAGCTTAAACGTTTCGAGAATTAAAAATCGATCAACATGCTTTAGAATTTTAACAAAACCACGATCAAGATTATCGAAACCATTTTCTTCTTCGTCGATCTCGCCTCATTTCGAGTATCGTCTAGCACGTTTATCGCGCTTCCACGGGCTAAAGTTCATCGTGTGCCCCGCGATTAACGAACACGCCTAGACACTGAAATCGAGAAAACTCGGAAACGAAATCGGCGCGCATCGAACAACGCCTCGAAGATGATGATACCGTGGATGAAAAAAATGATCGCAACAACGACACGAAGAAGCGTAACGAAACACAGCTCGTTAATCAACCAGGTCGCGTTTCTTCATTAACAATGCACACGACGAGAAACAAATTACCTCGCACGGATCATCGCATTCGTTCGTTGGATTCAGTTCGTCAGCGTTCGACGGTCATCAGGCTACGGGCATGGCATCTCCTCCGTCGTTGTTTGCAGGAAAGAAGACTCTTGGATAATCATTAAAAAAAAAATACCGCAATTATCGAAACTGGTCGCGCACAGCGCGTACACGATACCGGGTGTCGCGTTCGACGGGTTATTACCACGCGATCACGGGATCTACGTTAACGATTTCATCACGACACGACGGCACTGTCGCTCGCACTGTCGGCGATGGCAACGCGCATCGCGAAGGTCGTTGCCAAAGCCTGAACTGGTTTCCTCTCCTCCGATGCCAATGCGTCGCGTTGGAAGTAAGAAGACGAAATTGACGGCGAAGAAACTGGAATCGAGGAAAACCACCCGGGGGACGCGGCTAAAGATAATTACGCGCGAATTTACGGCCGATCCGCGGCCATAACATCCTGCAAAAGCGTTTCCCCACGGACGATGAGCACCGTCGTTGCACGTCGACTCTGCGTCACTACTCCGTGACGTGCGATGAGTCTCATGGAAGACTTTGTTGACTGGCGCCTATAGTAAAAAATAGAGTTCCTCGAAATCTGTTCGAGATCGGTCGTCGCCGCAGTCGACAGTCAAATGGGACACGCTGTCTCGGAGAAAGGCACACGCCCCGCGAGCTATCCCTCTGCGATATCCGCGATAAAGAGGATTTTAATTTCTCGCGGGTACTGCGATCGGGTCGACACGATTTTATCTATCCGCGGTTCGTCGCGGCGGCAGACTGATGCCTACGCGACGACGATGCCGCGAAATCCTCTGCGCCCCACTCTGCAGGCTTTTCCTCGCATGCAACTGGAAATTCTGCTCGTGATCGGCCGATTAGTATTGCAACGTAACGCCGATCGTGGTCGCGGAACACATTGATTGTTGCTCCGGTTGCGCGACGTTGGCTTTTCCAATTTTCTGTAAAACAGATCGCCTGTTCAAAAACGATGGTTCAGTTGGGGAATTCTGAAGTCATGATTAGCGTTTGTAGCGCACTGATAAGAATTGCATTAGTGTTTGTGGGAAATTATATCTGAACGCACGATGCACGGTATGTATATACGTACATGCGCATGCATGCATAAGCAGATGAGAAATAGTAGATCTTGGGAAGAACTTCCAGGAAATGAGCAATACCATTTAAACCGCAGAAAGTGTGCTATATACTTGAGTTTCAGATTTTAATGCAATAGCCATCGAGAGTGCAGTGCTGTAATGTTGCTTTATGATCATTTATGTTGCAATGGTATGTTATTATTTTATATATTATTATTATTCTAATTCGAAACACAATTTTATATATGTATTATTATTCTATATATTATTATTCTAATTCGAAACACAATTCTATATATGTATTATTATTCTATATTCCAGATTAAAAATCGAGAAAAATTATTAGATTATTATTGAATATTTTTATATGAAATTGCACATAGTTTTTAAATCTGTCCAGCAACAAAGAGGGTACGAGATTGTGCGAACTTGTGTACAAACTAAACGTTGTAAATTCCACTTATCTTAAGTTCACAGACTTATATTAAATCTGTATTAAGTTTGCAGATTGAATACATACTTAAGATGCATACAGATACTGCAAGCAGACCTGGGCACATTTTAAATAACGTTATTTGTGCATTCTATTCTGTGTACATTCTAATTTATATAATTAGTTCCAGACCTGTTACCACTTTTGAAATAACGTTATTCGAAATATTTATTTAATATTATAAATATATAAATATTTATATATTTATAATATTAATTAATATATATTTATATTATATATATTATAAATATTTATTAAATATTATTCTAAATAACATGTATTCCATTTCATAATTATTCCCATGCTTGTGATCACTTTTGAAACTAAAGTCTTTTAAAGAAATGTTAAAAGGCTAGGGTAGTCACGTGATTTTACGGATTCAGCTGGTCGGTATCTGCTCTGCAGATTTCTGCGTAGCTGTTCGATGAATACGAGATGGAGCCACCGGCGTTTTCTATTAGGAAACTCAATTCAAATATATTCTCCGGATCGAGAAATGCAGTGACATTTGAGGTCACTTTACCGTAATGAAAAGTGGTGATTTTTTTAATGTTTGTATGAAATTATTTATACCGAGAAAAATATCAGTATCCTGAGATAACAAATACAAGTAAATCTTCTCGAAAGTTAGCATCCATATTTTTAAACGTGTTAAAACGCAAACCCTTAAATATTAAATATTATATTATATATTATTATATATATATTATATATTAAATATTATATTATATAGTATATATTATATATTATATATTATATATTATATATTATATATTATATATTATATATTATATATTATATATTATATATTATATTAAAAACAAAGTGACTTATGCCACTTTCAAAATAAACGGTTCATATGTCACGCACTATTTGCGGACCAAAGTGGATGATCAAAGAAGAAGTCTCTGATTCATGGGGACCAAAATGAATCAGAGCAAAAGGCACTGTAGTAGGCATTGTAATAGGAAGAAATAAACGAAAGTTGGAGAGGAGCAGCAACAGCAGCAGCAAAAGAAGACAGCAGTAGGAGAAAGGAAGCAACAGTAAGAAGTGCACAAGTTTCCATAACTCGGACATCAGGTCCGATTTAAGACTTTAATCGAAAATATTAATTTGCATTTGGAAAAGATTTAGAAATGATTGAAAACCACTTGGAAATTCGCATTGTGATTAGAGATACAATTTTGCCAAATAACTACTAATAATAATTTTAAAGGTTTAGAAATTATTGAAAACCACTTGGAAATTCGCATTGTGATTAGAGATACAATTTTGCCAAATAACTACTAATAATAATTTTAAAGGTTTAGAAATTATTGAAAACCACTTGGAAATTCGCATTGTGATTAGAGATACAATTTTGCCAAATAACTACTAATAATAATTTTAAAGGTTTAGAAATTATTGAAAACCACTTGGAAATTCGCATTGTGATTAGAGATACAATTTTGCCAAATAACTACTAATAATAATTTTAAAGGTTTAGAAATTATTGAAAACCACTTGGAAATTCGCATTGTGATTAGAGATACAATTTTGCCAAATAACTACTAATAATAATTTTAAAGGTTTAGAAATTATTGAAAACCACTTGGAAATTCGCATTGTGATTAGAGATACAATTTTGCCAAATAACTACTAATAATAATTTTAAAGGTTTAGAAATTATTGAAAACCACTTGGAAATTCGCATTGTGATTCGAATTAAATAGAAAATTAATTAACTTTGATCTCGCAGCGAGACCTGGGCAATATCGGTATCATCCTCGGTTCAGAAAATTTTGCGAATTGCAATGAGTTTTCAGTCGAGGATGATACCGAGCTAACAGCTGTGCAGCGTCGCATCGCTCGCCACTGCCCACCAGCTACCTGAGCGCGGCCGCTAGCAATGAATCATTTACCTTCCTAATGTTCTCTCGTAAACTTCACCTTTACGACAGCCCTAATAAACAACAAATGTGCATCGGAACTCCTGTCCTTCCCTAACCCTCGAGAAACCCCCTTAAAAGCACCCCCAATAAAACAATTACCCGAACCTTCGCACATCTCGACTCGCACGGACCTTTCCTTCCTTCCCCTTCCAAGAGAATTTCATCTTTTTGTACGCGTTGCGTCACTCTTTCTTCCAGTACGATCTCACCGTGGTGCGCTGTGATCACTACCTTGTTTACAAAAGTACATAACAGGCATCGTAGTATTTATTTTACGCATAAAAGTTGTGTATAAACAGTTTTACTAAACTAAAATCGAAGAGAACGATTTATAATGCAAGAGTCTATATTATAAACATTGTGATTAATGTTAAACTGTGTTTGGTAATGGGAAATATTGCTGTGTATATATGTTACGAGGCGTGTTGAAGCGTCGAAGTGTACGTAAACATAAAGTGTGAATGTTTCTGTGATATATTTGTAGAGGAAAGAAGAGATTTATATACTTGCTTTCGTTACATGCAAAACATGGTGTACTTACACTTCCCGTCGAATTTAACAGAAGAGGAGTTGATGTTACAAGCGAAGTACAACAAACTCAAAAGAAAGGTAAGCGGAAGGTTATGTTTACAAAAATGGATATGTTGATGAGACTGCATTAATTACCGAATTTAAAAGTTATATATCTAGATTATTATCATAGATTATTACTTTTTTCATAACTTTCATTAACTTCTCCTCTTTAATTTCTCAAGAAAAAGGCTCTGCAAGATCTGAAAGCACCGAAACAAGAAGTCGAAAGGATACCGCAAGCACCGAAACGACCAACAGAGGCAAGGGATGCCAGAGAAGTTGCTAAAAAATTGATAAAATCTGGAGTAATCACGGCTCCGAAGACTCCCAAAAGACCAGAACAATCGTTTAAAAGGCCACGTGGTTTAGTGAGAAAGTTAAATAGCACGGAGAAAACGGTTAGCTCTTATCAGCCATTCTCTGCGACACAAATGGAAGAGGAAGAGACAGAAACTGTGCGACCAAGAGTTAAAGATTTGTACGATAGTTTTGTAAGTGCACAGGACACAGAAGATCGTGCTAGCGGCGATGTACAATCACCGTTAAAACCAGAAACGAAACCACGTGCTGGGAACACGATATTTGTCTGCGGTTATAAAATATCCGAGGATTTCTTGAAGAAGCATTTTGCAACGTTTGGAAATATAATTAATATTTCAATGGAAGCGGAGAAAAAGTATGTATACTTAGGGTACAAATAATTTACTGGATATGACAATACAGAGATGTAACAATGTGTAAATTCACTTTTTTAGTAGAGGATTTGTGACATTTGAGAAATCTGAAGCAGCTGAAAGGGCGATAAGTGAAATGGATGGTAGTATGGTGTCCTCTGTTCAGTTGAAAGTGTCTTTAGCAAGGAGACAACCTATAATAGAACCTATGAACGATGTTACATCCAGCTCGATGTGGTCGCCTATTGCAGCGAATTACTCCCAAAAAAGTGCACACAAAGACAGGAGAGACTTAAAAGTATACGAAGAAGATCTTTTTGTGTGAACACAATATTTTTTCAGTCCTATAGTTCTTGTTGATGGATGTTGTTATTATCCAGTTGTAACATTTAAGTCTCCTTCCAAAATAAATTATACATAGTCTTTAATGTTTATAACGATTCAAAAAATATTCTTTTCGCATTATGTAAACCTTACGATACTGCGTTAGTATCGTGCATTCGTAATCTAGTCGTGTAGTCGATTGGTGCAGATTATTGTGTCGCTTATAACTTTTCTGGCACGTTCTAACATTAAATATGCGTTGGACAGCGTAACGTTTCGATCGTATACAAAAAAAAAAAAGAAAGAAAGAAAAACGATCCATATGTCTGTGGTTTCGGTATTAGGTACTTGTAATTAACATACTGTTTTTATACATATTTGGCTCTTAATCATTAAGTACAAGTATTCTCGTAACAAATTATATTCGAAATCATGTTCTCACCGATATCAGTCACTCTCGTCGTCATGTGTAGCATTATCAAGTGTTCCTTGATCGTCAACGGTGTGATAAGATGTTCAACAATTGACTGTTCCCATTTGTTCGTCAAGAATCTATTCAATTTCAGACGTGCTTAATCGTCACCATTTTACCATGGTCCTAGTTCTACGTATTACACTTTCTCTCGGAGCTTGAATCGTGAATATATAAAATCGATTTACAAGAATAAGGAATTTCAATAAATATAGAACGTAGAGCTATTCACGGCTACTTTATATCCATAATATACTGTCGGCAATGTCATCCACATTTGTCGTTCGTTGGGGACACTAATCTCCCATCGGTTCCTGGAGATCGCGTGAAACGTCCGCGGTAATTCCCATATTACTCCTGCTATTTGGGCGGATTGAAGTAATCCCAGTGATGATGATGGGTGACCGATCTCGTGTTGCTGAAGAAGAATATCAGCATGCCCGCGATCAGGACCATCAGAGCGCACAACACCAGCTCTAACTCGCGAACTTTCTCCCTGGCCTCGTCGACGCCCACCACGGACGACAAATGATCCACGAATCGCCTGGTCCATTTCAAGACCGCCACACGGAGGACTCTGATCAATTGTCTTACGCTGTCGGTAACACTGGGCTCGACACTCGATTGCCGGTGATTCGTCAGAGAAAGAAAGTGGGCCGGGACGTCCGACACCGGGAACGCTATCAGATGGGTGCCGCCTAACGGGAACGAGGGTGTGGGGGACATGGAGGACTCTCTGTGGCTCTCCCTGTCGGAAAGCTCTCTGTAGGAGGAGTAAGAGATGACAGCGCGTTGCGGTTGCACCTCGTTGCTCGATATGCCATGACCGTGACCATGACTCGTCACGGTGTCCGGTGTGTCGGGTGTGACGGAAATGGCAGGTGGGAGGGACCTGACGGGTGACGCGGTCTGCCTGGTCCGCGAGATACTGATGGGAGACGGTGACCGCGACCTGGACTTGCGGCGCTTCGGCGGTATCAGGTCGGGAGAGCCCTCCTTGTCCTTGGGTTCCGCGTCCAGTCTCTCGAATTCCGGGGGCGGCACCGAATCCGTTGCTTCGACTCGCTCCTCCCAGGTCTTCTCTCCCGTGGTCTCTGTGGACGAGAGGGGGGGCGGGCGGGATTCTTCCACGGTGGGTTGCTTGGCTGTGGCCGAGCTCAAAGAAAGGGGGGTTTCTGAATCAGAAATTCGTAACTGCTTATCTTCGACGTTCTCTAGGGCTTGGGGTGATTGTGAGCTAGGAGTATGGATGGCTCCGTCCCTCGGTCCTACACGAGAGACTGTCAATGTATGATGTGTTACCGGCAACTCCCTGACCTCTACCTGCGCGACCGTTAGTGTATGTGTTATGGATGACATGCTGTCCCCTGGCTCGACTATCTCTCTGTTAACAACCTTTTGATCCTCGATCGACGCCGGTCTGTCGGCGTCCTCGGGGCTCCGCTGACGGATGCTCGCCGGGTCCTCCGGTTCCCGAGGAGCGCTCTGCCTCTCTGTAACGGGAATGTCTGCCTTGGCCTCTGCCACGGCCGTTTTCCTCTCTACCGAGTCCTCCTGGGCCCGAGCTGCCGCCACGGTCTCCAAGTGGCTTCTTATGGCGATCAGTTCCTTCACGATCGACGGGGACAAGCTCTCCTCCAGCCCAGCCCCGATGTTCTTCAACTCGGAGGTGGTGACCACCAACGCGTCCACCTCGGACGCGACGATCTTGCCCGCGTCAATCTGCGACACGCTCAGTCGATCCACTCGCAAGTCACCCACCTCGAGGTTGCTGATCCTGACAGGCTCGTCGGACAGTAAAGCGGAGCGGATCGACCGTATCAGCGCCTCTTCGTCCCTCGTCATTGTCTCGCGGCTTGGTTCCAGATCCGGCGCGGACAAGTGTCTGTCCTCTAAGCTCTCCAGCTCTCTCGCGGGGGATGGGGCCTTCAACGAAACGGTCTCGAAGCCGGAACCGGGTATGTCCTCTTTGCGCGAGCGTTGTGGCAACGGCAACGGAGGAACAGGCGGAGCGGTTATGCTCAAAGGGGTTGGTATTCTTTCGGTGGACACCATGATCTGGGAGCCGGAGCTGGACGGCGCGACGACCAGCTTCGCCTGCGTGACCTCCTCCTCGATGATCATGTCGTCGGGCAATGGGTCCGTCTGCGTGGCCGTCGTAGTCTCCATGGAGAAGTCTTGACTGAGGGGCACGGACCGATCGAGCGATTTCTCCTTCCTGGTTCTGGGGGGCCTTGGCGGAGCGGGCAAAGGTCGCCTTTGCATCTTGCTGAGCACCTCTGTGCTGCGCAGGTCCTTGTGCTCCCCGCCGTCGGAGTCTATCTCTATGTAGGGCGCGGACTCGGTTGGCTCCAGGCCCACCACAAAGGTCTCCGACAGCATCTCGGTGTCTTTGGTCCTCCCAGGACCCAGTGTACTGTAAGCGCGTAGAGGTCGTTTCGGAGGAACAGGTTTCGGCGCGGTGGCAAACTTGTCCTTTTTCCGCCTCGGTGGCGGAGGTCTGGGTGGTTTCTCGCGCTTCTCGATGATCGCGTAGCCAGACAAGTCTCGCCCGTAGTCCATGTCGTCCGGCGGGATGTCCTCTTCCACGTAGCCGGCTTCCGGCAGCGATTCAGCCCCGTGCGAGGTTCTGTCCTCGTCCTGAGCCACGGAGGTCCCTCTAGACCTGGACCTTCTCTTCGGCGGAACCGGGACCGGTGGTATGTACTCCTCCTCCTCTCGCAGACGCATTTCGATATTGTCCACGCTGGCTGCTAGGATCTCTTCAGCAGTGTACACTTCCTCCTCGGCCAGCAGGTGCTCGGTGGATACAGGCGGCAGCGACTTTCCGCGTGCTCCGTCCGCTTCGGCCCATTCTCTGTGACCGTTGCAAATCGGCTCACCGTTTATCCGTTCCTCGGTAGCGAACGGGTCCTTGCGCGAACGTTTCCGACGAGTGGGGACCACCGGCGGAGGTGGCGTAGGCGAAGGAGGTCGTGGGGGCTCCAGTGGCCCCTGAGACTGGCTGCGTTGAGAGGACTTCGACTTCCTGCGTACCGGCTTCACCACCACGATGTCGTCCAACGGCTCGAGCGGAACATCTTGCAGGCCCTCCGCTTGGTACACTATGCGGTGTCGGGAGTCGCTTCGGGTCCGTTCGCGGAACTGCTCGTCCGCGGACTCGCTTCTGCGCACTCTGTTCGGGTCCCTTTCCGGCCTGACCGGCGGCTTCTCCTCGAAGAACTCCTCCTTCAGTCGCTTCCGCAGCGCTCTGTTCCGGTTAAGACGCGCCGGAGGAACGGGCACCAGGTCTTCGTCCGCTAGCGCGTTCCCGGCGCCAGCTCCGAGATCGTCTCTGATCTCGTGCGTCAGATACTTGCGCAGGTTCAAATCCTCCGGTCTGATTCCCCCAGCTTGGACGAAGTACACGTCGAAGTCGATCTCCTCGATGACCCCGCGACGCCGCCGGTCGCAGGAGCTGCCGCTCGAGTGTTGCTGCTCCCGGTCCGACTGAGCGGACGAAGCCTCCGGCTCTTCTTCTTCCTCCATCTCGTCGTCGTACTCTTCCTCCTCCTCCTCCGACGGTGTCTTGTGCACCCCGTACCGCCTCGGGTCGACCGTCGCGAAGCCTTCGAAACGACCGTCCTGCCGGGCCCGCATCATCTCTTCCAACGACCGTGACCGTGGAATGGGTTTGAACTCTTCGATCGGCTCTTCCTCCGGTATCCAATCCTCCTCGACCTCTTCCTCGATATCCTTCTTCGTGTCCTTGTATCTCTGCTCCAGCTCGGCTCGTTCCCTTTCGTAGGACTCTTCCTCGGTTCTAGGTGTCTCCGATCGCGGAGCATCCTGCCGGTCGGATCTCTCTGTGGACTCTTCGTAGTCCATGTACCGGATTTGCTCCAATCTGCGCTTCTCTTCCCAGGGCAACCCGGCTAGTCCCTCCTCCGTCATACTGATGGACAGTCTGGGGTCTTCGATCGAAGGGTGCCGCCAAGGGCGCGACCTCTGCACAGCCGTCTCCGTGTTCGGTCGGTCGTCGTCGTCGTCGATGTACGGCGTGGTCTCCTCGAACCTTTGCGCCCAGCTCGGCCGCCTCTTCCGCGTTCTGGGGAACGTCGCGTTCTCCGCGGATTGCGCCCGCGAGTCCTTCGGCGTCGATGTCGCGTACTCGGGCTTGGCCTTCGATTTCTTGTCGAAGATGCGCGGATACGTGGCGAAGTGGAAGATGTTCTTGCGGGAACCGGCCGACTCCGTCGACGGCTGCTCGTCGGACGGCGTCTTCTTCGCGCGCGTCAGAGCGTTCGGCAGACGTATGTTCGGTTTCTTTATATTGAACTTCGGTCGTTCCGGTAGATGGAACGCGGACCGGTCCGGCAACGAGAATCTCGGGCGATCCGGCAACGAGAATCTCGGACGTTCCGAGAACGACGATCTGATGCGCTCCATACGGCTCGGTCTCCTCTCGGATCGCGACCTGTCCGATCGGCTGCTGACAGATGATTTGACTTTCTCGGGCTTCGGTCGGTCCGCGAATGGGAACGACGGCCGATGAATGTTCTTCAAACGTGAACGCAGCTTGCCGGCCTGCGACTTCAACCGCTGAGGCAGACCGCGAGCACCGCGGCGCAGCGGCAGCTCTTCCAATGCCAACGAGTCTACCTGAAATAAAAGAATTGGCATGGATCAATTCGGTGAGCGTCGCTGACATACGTGGATCATCGCTGGTTAATTATACGAGGAAGGAACGCGGTTCGTAACATAACAAAGGTGCTTTCTAAATGGCTTCGGCAGTCACGAGACGGTTTGTTTGTTTCTTTGCGCGCTCGCGTCTGCTAGATAGAGGTATCGCTCCGAAACTGTGGATCTTAAATTCGGAACAGACATTCTTTTTTTCATTGATTACGGCGAACAGAAATGTTATTGCAACGTTGACCATTTTTGGATTGAATAATAGGAAGAGACGAGAATAAATGAGATTTCATCTTTATCGATTTATAACGCAAATTGTTTTGCATATGGGTTAATCAAAATTCAGCTGATTGTGTAACGTATTTGGACAATGGAGCTGAGGAAAGCTGAAGGAAAATTAGGGAGAATTTACTGTATTTAGACGGATAGGAGATAGATGAAAGACGGATAGATGAAAGCGACAATCTTCGTGATCCTAATTTAGGTGAACGAAGTTTATTGGAATAATAAATTGGAATAAAATCCGCTGTCTACTAATAACTCATCCTAAATTAAAATGTTGTTCTGTGGGAAACTTATTCCTAAATTAAAAGTTATATTTCCTTTGTCGCATTCAATTTCGTTAACAGTCTTCCTGGACAGTATCTTTGGAAGTTCAAGCTCAATTTCACGTTAACCCGATCCCTTGAACGTTAAATATAACAATATTCTCGTTCTTCATTTCTGTTTACAAGCTGAAGGAAAATTAGGGAGAATTTACTGTATTTAGACGGATAAATAAAAAATGCATGTTATGCGCGTGAAATTGACTCTTGGGACTCGCGCAATAATTGCACTCTTAGCAATCTTTTAAATCTGAAGTTTGTTAATTACAAATTATCTTGAAACGTGATATAACAAATTTTAGTAGTGCCTCAGAGTCACCACTCGAGCGCAAAGGGTTAAAGTCGAAAAATAGCTTCGTGTGCAAAGTAGATAATCTGTACATAATCTGTAAATAAAAAAGATTAATCATGAACAGTTGTTCTACTGGGATCATTCTGTGATGTTGTACAAGATCAAAGATCATCCCTAAATATACATATATGTATACATGCAATGCCAGTGTGCTAGTTCCGTTTAGTGTTTTTGGAATCTGGAATCTCAGTTGATACTATTAACCCTTTGCACTCGAGTGGTGACTCTGAGGCACCACTAAAATTGTTCTATCGCGTTCCAAGATAATTTTTATATTATCAAAGTTTAGATTTTAAACATTATCGAAAGTGTAACCGTTGTACGAATCACGAGACTAAATTTCGTACGCATAAAATGCGCTTTATCTTGTAAAACGAAATAACTGTAAATCAGAAAAATGATTTTAGATTTACAATCGAAATGGCTTCGAGTGCAAAGGGTTAAGCGATTTTCGCCGATGACTTTATCTTAATTTATCTTAATTAGTTAATACTTCAACTCTAACTATCGACTTTTCTATTGTTTCCTTATTTTGGAGGCGAAACTCTGAACAATAAGCCTACGGTATAGATCTTTCTATTATACCGTGCTAAACAATTTACGGTTTACTTATAACGAATAAAAGAAGAAAACTATAAAAAAGAATTAAATATCTAGAATCTCAAACTGTGCGACTCCCTACATTTTTTCTAACGACGAGCACCTCCGTGGTTACCGTAATGGACAAAAACTGCCGCTATAGCATTTGTAGAATATTTTTGCATTGAGCACGCAATAACCGCGCGGCGTAAATCAAGATAGTAATACATATCAGCTGACCTACTCTGTATACATTTGTGACACGAAATGCTCGCGGATGGGATGAGACGCTAATGACTCGAGGCTGACAAACGGAATGCTTTATTGCTCGCGTCGCATCTGTGTTCTCCTCCGTCCAAAAATAAAGGCACGTATTGTCGAAAATCGATTGTTTCATGGTAGCCAAGTACGACGCGCATTCCTCTGTATTGTTTAGGTCTCGGCTGACAACCGCACACGTTATGCACCGAGGGTGTAAAAATAAATGTAACACAGCGAGCACGTTTACGTGGTTCTCTCTCTCGTAAATGGGTGACCACTTTGAAGTTGAGTATACAGAATGCTCCGCGTCGGACAATAGGATCAAGTATCTTCGGCATCTCTGGATGCAGGAAAAAATTGTTTGGAGCGTGGAACAGTGTTCTAAAAATCCACAATTTTAGGGAGCGAGGACTTGCTGCTTGCAAGTGGATAAACTTTCCATTAGGATGTTAACAATTTTTCATTTTCTTTACTGAATTGCACAGAAAAGTACTGTAAAAAAAGATTAGCATACTAATATTACATGTATATTAGGCGATGATCTCTGATCTTGTACAACACCAGAGAATGATCTCAATAGAACGACTGTTCATGATTAATTCGTTCTATTTGTACAGATTATCTACTTTGCACTCGCAGCTATTTTTCAACTTTAATATATTTCTTTCAACGTACGGTATTTTCATTTGCAACATTTTCGTATCGCATGCATATGAAATTGGGCTCATTTGCACGTACAATACATACAATTTTAACGACTCTTTAAATATAAATAAATTTAATAATGTAAGGATTACTTTCAAAAATGATGTGGCAATTTTTTAGTGGCAACACAGAGTCGCCATTCGCGTGGAAAGGATTATTCTTTAGGTATTCGATAAAATTTTCCGTTTCGGTTCATTTTTCCACGTGGAATTATATTTGCAGATACAGTAGAACCGCGATTATCAAGTCCTCCAATTTAAGATTTTTCTATTGTCCAAATACATTACATCAGCCAAATTTTGGGTAATCCATATGCAGAACGATTTACGTTATAAATCGATAAAGATAACATTTCTCACTGCAAGTAACTATTTCATCGCCCGAACGTTCATGTTCCTCTGCTAAAGCCGGATAATCGAGGTCTCACTTGGCTAAGATTTTGCAGAAATAAATGTCCTAAATGAACGCCATGAAGCCTTCGCTATTCGAAGTAATGGAAAGACAAATGCGTTCCAATAAACTTCGTTTACCTAAATTAGGATCGCGAAGATTGTCGCTTTCATGGATCTCCTATCCGTCTAAATGCAGTAAATTCTCCCTAATTTTCCTTCAGCTTGTAAACAGAAATGAAGAACGAGAATATTGTTATATTTAACGTTTAAGGGATCGGGTTAACGTAAAATGGGGCTTGAACTTCCAAAGATACTGTCCAGAAAGACTGTTAACGAAATTGAATGTGACAGAGGAAATATAACTTTTAATTTAGGAATAAGTTTCCCACAGAACAACATTTTAATTTAGGATAAGTTATTAGTAGACAGCGGATTTTATTCCAATTTATTATTCCAATAAACTTCGTTCACCTAAATTAGGATCGCGAAGATTGTCGCTTTCATGGATCTCTTATCCGTCTAAATGCAGTAAATTCTCCCTAATTTTCCTTCAGCTTGTAAACAGAAATGAAGAACGAGAATATTGTTATATTTAACGTTCAAGGGATCGGGTTAACGTGAAATTGAGCTTGAACTTCCAAAGGTACTGTCCAGGAAGACTGTTAACGAAATTGAATGCGACAAAGGAAATATAACTTTTAATTTGGGAATAAGTTTCCCACAGAACAACATTTTAATTTAGGATAAATTATTAGTAGACAGCGGATTTTATGTGTTTATGACAAAAAAAAATGAGCGCAGTAAATTCTCCCTAATTTTCCTCCAGATTGTACACAAAAATGGACAATTTGAAAAGAGAAGGTACAATTATTCGAGCCTTGCGCTTCGTTTTTACAATCGTCGGCGAACCTCGTTTGACAATCGGCGACTATAAAAACGAGCCGCGGAGGCTCGAACAATCGCATCTTCTCCTCCCAAATTGTCCATTTTCATTCACAAGCTGTTGGGAAATTCGGGAGAATTTACTGCACGCCCAAACAATGTCGGACAACAAACAGCACAAATAAATCACGTGCACGCATCCGAGAAACCGTATTTTCTTCCGAGCCGCGACAAAATTAAGCGGCGAAAGCTGGGTTTCGGTGGTTCGGCGGTGTCGGTGATTCGACTTGTAGTCAGAAAGACGTGATTAGGAGCATGATCTAGATTTCGCAGAAGCATCGGGTGTATCGCAAGCGGCGCAGAGTTTAATGGGCCAGAGCGACACTTCTGCGGCCGGTTGTGCCCGCCACGAAACCATCGTGGCCAGAAATAGCCGCGGATTGCTCTCCATCGATTACTTATGCCAGTGTATTACCTGTTTTTTTTTTCGCGAGCGGTACAGCCGAGCCGGGTTCGTCTTTTCATGAGTTTACGTGTAACGCGAGCGCCGATCGATCCAACGATCCTCCTGGATCGATCGTTCGCGCTCAGTTCACGGCCGATCGCCGTTTCTACGGGGATCGGATATTTTCGAGGGTGTGGTGCAATCGATGGGAAAAGCCCGGGAGCATTCTGGAACGTTGCGACGCGGTTGCACAATCCCTCCGGACAGTGACACGTTGGCTCCAATGCTTTTTATACGCGCGTTTCGCTAAATATAGGCCCGGTGGGCAACAAACGGAAAACGCCTCGCGCTACGTGCAACCGCCGCCAATGGTTCTCCCCGTTCGTTTTTGTACAATGTTGTCATCCGACTGTTCAGCCGCCACCTTGATTAAGCATCGCGCGGCGTCCCAGGAACGTACACCTTGCCAGTTTTTTCCGTCCGAACGGTACGCGCGATCCGATATACTTCGCGATTGCAACAGGAACAACGAAATACGATCGAAGAATCTCTTCTGCGCGCCGCGCGACAATGAAATAACTTCGGTGATCTCTGAAGTTTATTTTGCGAATGTGCTCCAAATTATGTTCTCGTACTCCCGCGATTGTCTACCCGAGGCGAGTGACACGCAACGCGTGAAAATAACTGCCCGGATCTGGTTTCATTCCGCTGAACGCCCGTGTCGTGGATTTTTCGATGATGAATGTGGTATATGGGAATAAGGAATGGATGAGTTGAACAATGTTTGAACTTATGAAAATATTTCGGAATGGAGAGCTTTCGCAGAATTGCGAGGACCATTGGAAGGAAGCAGAATTGGGCATTATTCGAACTGTTTTACGCAACGTTTAAATTTCGGTTATCCGATCTGCAGCCTCGATCATTCAGACGAGTAGAAACACGGTGGCAGAGATGATTAGTGAACCTTTATTATCGGAATAAGTAAATTCTCCCTAATCTTTCTTCAGCTTATAAACAAAAATGGAGAATTTGGGAACAGATGATACGATTATTTGAGCCTCGCATCTCGTTTCTACGATATTGTTGACACAAAAATGAACCGCAAGGCTCGGGAATAATCGTATCTTCTTTTCCCAAATTGTCCATTTTTATTTACAAACTGAAGGAAAATTAGGCAGAATTTACTGTACTTGCCAGTATCATTAAGTATAAAACGCAGAGATTTTATAGTATAGAGCGAAGTATGCATTTCATACTTAACGATCTAATGATTAGTATCTACAGGTACTATAGAAAGTAATTTCTCGAAAATAGAAAGAAAGTTTATTTAGAAAGTAATTTCGTTCTTCCAAAAAAAAAATTCGTTCTGTAAGACTGTTAAAAATCACTTGGTTCAGTAGTTTGCCAATAAGAAACAGGTCTTCCACGAGCATAAGATTTCGAAGCTACCAGAAAACCATGCTACAAAGCTACCACCATTAAATAAATAATGTTTATGTGATTGTCAACAATTATAAAAACAAGGTGCAAGACTCGAATAATCGTATCTCCTCTTCCCAAATTGTCCATTTTTGTTTACAAGCCGAAAGAAAATTGAGGAAAATTTACTGCACCTCGGTTATCCGAACTGCCTTGTTCTCCGACCTGTTCGGCGAAACGAGGTTCTATTGTATTGGGTTGATGTGCGTAAATGTTATATTATAAAATTATTATTATTATTATTATGTTATGTATATCTTGTCATGATTTCTATTGGGTTGGCAACTAAGTAATTGCCGATTTCAGTTATATAGATGTCTCTCACTCCCATTTTTATGATATCCGTAAATGTTATATTATAAAATTATTATTATTATTATTAAGTTATGGCGAAACACCAGAAGCCCTGTTTTTTCAATCAGCGATGGTTCGATTCTGTTTGGTACGCGGCGGTTGTTTTCCCTGTTTCGTAGTCAATAGCGAGTCGAATGAAAAAGATGGTGCTGGTCGCGAGTTTGCATTCGCTGCGATGCATCGCGGTGATTAAAATCGAGATGGTTAATTGTTTCGTTTGATCTTGTTAGTTGTCTTTTACGGTTAACATAGAGTCTTTTGGATCTTTTGATTACGTTCTAAGGCTAGTCTTCGTATTAACTTTTGGTCTTGATGTGGAAATAGATTAATAATTCATAATTTTTCATATAATTTATATAATCTTCATATAATTTTTTCCATTTCTATTTCTTACTTTTATTTAGAATTACGATAGATCCATCGTTATACGAATTAATTACGAGAGCATGAACGTTGGAATAATAGAGAGATGGCAAAAGGTCATCGAACAAAATGGAAAATAC